ATAATTTTGTAGAGTAACGTCCGAACTATCTACGCATGCAAAAAAATTACTAACATTGTATGTTAGTTTTCTGAGAACGGAGCTGGTTTTCCAAAGATCCTCTGAAAACCCGATCTCTGGAATTTTTCAAAAGTTGCTTCCGCTTGTGAAAAGCTTTGCTCAAGTCTTGGCTATTGAACAGCGAAAATTGCAGGTCTCTATCTCATTCCTATCAAAAGTTATTCAAAAAATGCCCACAGGTCTTGTATTTTGGGACGGATAGTAGTTCCAACGAATTTCTAATTTAGAATTATTGTAAATTAATGCTTTTTCAAATTAATTTAAACCATTCTAAAATCACAAATTCGTTTAAATTAATGCGGTAGGAAATTAACAACGATAAAGTCTGCAAAAATTAATTCAGGTTAATTTTAAGTTGAAAATTATTTTGAATTAATTTCTGTCAGATTAGTGCAAATCGATTTATTACTAAATTGAGTTAAAGGAATTTGGAAATACATTAATTCAAATTAGTGTAGAGTTTTCGAATTAATGTACACTAATTCGAAGGTCGAAATTCGTGTACATTAATTTAATATGAGACTTTGTATAATGCGGTAACGAGGGAAATTAATTTTTATCACGAAAAAATGAACTAAAATTAATGTCAGTATTTTTAAATTAATGCGCATTAATTTGAAGTATGCTTTTTTATTTTTTTATCATTTATTCAAAGATTTAAATTGACGCGCATTAATTTTGAACGCCAAAAAGCTTTTTAAATTAATATGAACGAATTTCCTTTCAAATTTGTTCAAATTCCTTTGAATCTCGAAATTACTTTACATTAATTCGAAAGTATTTAAAAGTTCTAATGGGTAATGTATATGCATTGACAAGTAATAATGCAAGTTGCAGGCTCAGGTGGCTGAGTGGGTGACTAACTTGTTTGTAATTTGTCTTTCTATTCTTAGGTACCAAGTTCGAACCCCGCCGATGGCATCATCAATATTATGCACTTATTTCTCGTAAGTCAAACTTCTCTCCTAATGTCGTAGACTCTCTTCGCTAGAAAAAGTCTGAATTGCTAAAGGAGTTAAAATTCCAATGAAATTATTTATTTTTAAAAATAAAATTAAAGTACGGCAAACGCGATCAAACGCGTATTAACGCACTGAAATGGTACAGATTCGGCGTACTTAGACGCGTCCTAGCCTTTAAAAGCGCGTTACACCTCGTCCACATCATGCGCGTTTAAACACGTCTAGCCGTACCAAAATGGTGCATATTTGAGCGACTTAAACGCAGGACAAAACGCGTTTTTGCCAAAGGTCACTTCGAACATCAAAAGTCATTATGACAACATTCAACCGTAATACAAAACAGCAGCTTTATGAATATAGGATTACCGTATATTCACAAAGCTGCTTTTTGGTATCTCGCATCAAAACGTATCTAAGTATTTTATATTCACCGTATTCTACGGGTTCTACGGGGTCGATACATCGCATCAGTACTTTTACAAACAACGTTTTTTATGGACTGTGGATTCTTGTTCTCTGAAAAACAAAATGTGTTCAAGAGTACATATTTTGTTCTTCATTTTCCAAAGAACGTATATGTGTTCTTCGGCGTGTTCTTTAAAAAACCGAAGAACAAGGATTTTTAGCAGTGTGTGGAGAACTCTTGAAGGCCTACTTTAGCCCCCCGCCGGAAATACGAAAGTTTTGTAAAAAAAAGTCAGGATTGTGCTAAGCACATTAATATATAGCCCAATATGTCTGCTATCTGAATCCATGTCAGTACGACCTTCATCAAAGGTTTCTGCAAGTATTTTAGGCAGAAGTGGTGAAAAACTAACTTTTCCACTAACTGTATGTTATTAATATAGAATCTAGAGACAAGTAGTTCTTAAGTAACTCGGTTGAAGAGCGACCATTTCTGATCAAGATGAGGTGTCTGCCAACTTCAGGCAATGTCCCAACCAAAAGTTATAAGCATTTTAAATAGAAGCCCTGAAATATGCGTCGTACACTAGCACCACTTTATGTCAAAAGCGAGCTTCGCGTCCACACGTTGTCATAGCTGCAGGATTTCTACGTATCGGAGCGACGCAAAAAGCTTGGATTAGTCTTAAAATAAAGCTAACACACCTGGCCGGATGCTAATAGAGCCCGATTTTGACAACCAGTTAGATTTGTGTACAGATGCATTATTCTTTTTGAAAAACAATGTCAGTTCATTTTTTAGCTTAAAGATAATTGACCATGAAACCGAATCTTTTGTTCAATATGTCATTGAAAAGCCTAAGAAATACCATTCACGTTTAAAAAAATTCAGTTGGAAAAATTAAATTTGCAAGTTTCTGTAATGTGTTTTACATGTTTTCAAAATTGTTACATGGATCTTGTAGAGACGCTGAAGCTCTACAACAATGTGAACGGAAAAACTGAAGACATCTTTTCAGTAGAGACCTTTCTTGAAACTACGAAGACTACACTTTAAAAAAGAGGACTTCTTCGGAAAACTGAAACTGTGTTTTTCATTCGTCCCAAATACGGATCTGATGTGAATTTTCTGAAAATTTGCAAAACTGATTTTTTCATTTTCCGGAAGAACAGAAATTGAGTTTTTCATTTTGAATGAATATTATCAACTGGAAACCTGCACAAGTAGAAAAAACTATGTCATCCTAACTCGATCGTCATTTGGACCCTCATTTGAGCTGGGTATATTCAGATCCCAAAAAACGTAGGTTCTCGACTCGTTGGGTTCGAGCCGAATTTTAGAACTCTATTGCCAAGTACAAATATGTTCTCGAAGTGTGCACATTGTTGTACATAAATAGAACTTTTTGAGAATAAGTTTAAGCTTCTGTAAGAAAAGATCATGTCCTTTCGCGAGCATCGGATGCTGAGTATCTCAAGCTTCGTAAAGTATTTCAAGATCATCTACAAGCCAAATAAAGAATCCATTCTGGCATTTGGCCATTGCTACCGCACAGTGTCGGTTTCTCCCTATTGCTTCCCTTTCTGCGACAAGTCCAGCTATCTGGCCGAATAAAACGTTGAAGAGTCAAGCGAGAAGCAGTCGTCGGCGCGCCTCCTCCAACGAAAATAAAGAATCATTTTATGTGTTTGGATCAGTGACATAGTTTGATCTCACTTTCTTCAGTCATTCCCGCTATCTCGGACCGGATAAAACGTTGGAGGGTCCGAGACAGTCGCCGATGCCCTCCGCGTGTCTTCTACAAGCATCTATCTACAAGGATCTATGGGCAAAAGATCTTTAAAATCTGAGGTTGGCGTCTGAAAAGGTGCTTTCGCCAGTACACTCACTATGACTTTTCATTCGAGAATATTAGAATTTAATTTGTTTATTTTGCATTGCTGTGTGTTAATTCTTGAAATCAAAGAAATATACACACAAGACAATCATTCCATGAAAACACTTGTTGTAAGCTGTATATTGAAATATTATAAACAATCATCAATGAAGAAAAGCACCATTGAAATACCAAACCCGCAGCAAACTTTAATACCAGTAGGTTTAGAACAACTTTAACGACTATGGACTTTCGTTAGAGACATTGAAAAACAAACATCAATATACTAGACATGCATCGAACCTGTTTCTACCCTATTTTAAGTTACTTTTGTCTCCCGTACTACTTACTCTATTTTTTCTTAATGAGCAGAGATGTTCGTTAGGTGTTCTGTTACTGCTGAGACCTGTGATTTCATGTCCGATTATGCAGCAGTGGTTGAAATGACACGACTAAAAAGTCTTTAAAGTGTTTCGCTTTTCTGCGTGCTCAAAAAGGTTTTAAAATTCAGCTTAAATTTAAGTGTATTAGTCACTGAATCCGAATACAGAAATCCTGTTTCGATTTTTACATCTAAAAAGGCGTCTGTACCAACGCTGTGTTTCTTTGCCGAGATAAACCACGAAAAGGAATAATAACAAACGCGGAAACTAAGAAACCGACAAAAAAAGGAAAGACTTGAAGCTCCAACAAGAAACCGTTTCGCTTCACATCTCTCAACTCGCTCTCTGTGCAACTATTCTGAATAAGTTATCATTCAACTTATTCAAGTTAAAAAAATAAGAATATATGTTGTAGCCAAAACTCAAATTCAGCCAAATTTGAAATTTGGCTAGCCAAAACTCGTTGGAGTTTTGGCTGGGCAAAACTCAAATTGAAGTTTTGGCTAACGATTCTTTAGGCAAAGCTCAAATTGGAGTTTTGGCTAGGCAAAACTCAAATTTTAGTTTTGGCTGACGATTGATTTAGCTAGCCAGAACTGAAATTCAGCCAAAACTAAAATTTCGAGAAGTTAGTCTGAAAATGGTATATTTGTTTTTCTTTCTGTTTTGGCTGAAAGAAGTGATGACATTAGTTTATAAGCTGACTAGAGCATGGGCGAAAAATGTAGAAAGCCTATAGATGCTTGTAACGACCAGAAAGATGAGTCTTTTTTTCTTTTGTCATTGGGTTCTTCTAACTGTACTATGTACCTTATACATTGCATTTGAATTCTTCTCGACCGTTGTGTACATATAAGGATCAATGTATAAATAGTCACAACTGTTGGTTGATAGTCATTCGAAAACCATTAAAACAACCAGTTGTATCAAAACCAACAATTTCACTAGGAGTGATGACTAGACTGATGCAAATCGATTTGATTGATATGCGTACAAGACCGGATGTTATTTCAATTGCTGTCGTTTATCGTTGGATTTTGCATTGTATTGATCATTTTTCTAAATTTACACGGTCTTTTCCATTAGAAAATAAGTCTGCTGGAGAGGTTGCCTCTAAACTCCGTCAATTGTTTTTTACTTTTGGACCTCCACATTTGTTACACTCGGATAATGGAGCTGAATTTGTCGCACAGGTTATATTTGAATTGAAAAGCTTGTTTCCAGATATGTGTTTCATTCGAGGAAGACCCAGACATCCTCAAAGTCAAGGCTGTATTGAACGTGCCAATGGTGTTTTAAGTATTGCATTGGGTAAATGGTTAGATACGAACAATTCAGTTCATTGGTCAGATGGTCTGCTACCAGTGGCTTATGGAATCAATACAAGAGTATCATCAGCGACAAAAACAACACCATATGAAATAATGTTTGGTCAACGTCCACGATCGGATTCCGATTTTTGGAAAATTGTAAAAGAATGTGATATAATGGATGAAGAACAATTACCAACTCCAATCGAACGCGCTGATGTCGTTGTCGATGAAATTGTTGAACAATCCACCATAAATGAAACTGTAATTGATGATTTTGATAAACAAAAAGAAAATGATAATTTAAATATAGATAACTTCATTCCTGAAATGTTTCCGCTTCTAAATACAAACAATGGTCCAAATGCAGCTGGTGTTCTTTATTATTCTTTTCTTGATCTTTCACCTTCTTCTTCCTATGATCCTTATCATCAACCACTAGGTGCCACAATAAATTTGACAACAGAGAATGTGGTTTCGTTCGATTCCCCCCACCAGCATCGACTCAACCTAATTCTCAGAGGACCCTTTTCCACTTTTTATACTAATCTGAAACACACAAGTTGTACTATATATTGATCTGTTTTTTAGAAAAGGTCCCTTTCAGTTTCTTTCGGTTTTAATTAACGAAGTTGACAGAGTACGGAATAACTTACAACTAGGGCACATTAGGTACGCACCGATTTTGGTTTCAAATCGAAAAACCGATGTTTGGTTTAAACCAACACCGAAAAAACCGGACATTGTCGCATTCAAGAAATATGCATAGGTAGGACACTCTTTGTACCTGTAGGGAAAAGATCAGTGAAGTCGGTGTAGGATATCTGAAGAGATCCCCTCGTCAGTATCATGAAGTTTTGTGTCTCTACAGCTGTATGTAACTCAAGAAATCGTAGGACATAACACATATGATCGGAAGAAGAAACATATGGCATACTCCATCCGGTCGCTTGGCCGTTCAGTCGTTCGCAGGTCGTTCTGCGGCAGTGAAATTCTAATTTATTTTATTTTATTTTATTTCGGTTCCTTTGATTGTATCGTGGATACATACATACATTAGCATATATATAGTTCCAATGTACTCGTTCTTTTAATAGACATCATTATAAGAGTAGATATTTTTCTGTTTAAAGAAATCAGAAAAGAACAAATTTTATATTTTCATCAAATGTTCATCTTTTATATGTTCAATGAGGGCACTGTAAAACTATTTCATATTGCACCAACTTCGCGAACTACAATTACACTAATTAGAGAAGATCCATTTCCTATTTTTATAGTAGTTTAAAGTACACGAGTTGTACACGATACTGATCTAATTTTTAGAAAAGGATCCCTTTTAGTCTTTGAGAAATATGGTTGTGAATGTCGTTCATCATCCTCTGAAAAACTCAGCTTTTTCTTGCTCGATTTGCAGAGATTTCTTTTGCTTGTCTCGGAAACTTGGTTTTTTAGAGGATGATGAACGACATTCGCAACCCTGTTTCTCAAAGGCTAAAAGGGATCCTTTTCTAAAAATTA